TCGAAGGCATCTGCTCTTTGAAGGGTTGTGGAGGCCAGTGGAAGGGCAAAGGGCATGAATATACCCCTGGATACAGTGTTTCCCTGAAAATAAGACCCACCCCAATAATAAGCCCGAGCCTGATTTTTTGGGGTGGGCCTAATATAAGCCTTACCCTAAAAATAAGCTGGTGGGGTGAGCGTGGCCAACACGAGTGGTGGTGTATGGGGGCCGATGGTGTCCGGCAGCAGCCGCACCCTAACAGTCCCTTGGCGCAGAGCAGGTAAGTCCGCCTACGGAGGCAGAGACAAGTGTTTGGGCACCTATGGGGTGCTTTGGAACGAAGCAATTCACTCAGTTCCGAAGCGCCTCATAGACGCTCAAACACCTTTCCCCCTGAATGGAGATCTGACGGAGATGGAAGCTCCGTCTGCTTGCGAATGGGACACTTGGTGACAGAACTAATCACCCTATTCGCAAGGAGACAGAGCTTCCAGTCTCTGTCAGATCTTCATCCCGGTCACAGTGGAGCATTGCATCCCGAGGAGAAATTCTGTTGCTGCTGCTGGACCGACCTGGGCCTCTGTCTCCCAAGCTCCACCTTTACCCACTGCCCAGGATTTTCATTTCCGTTTGGGTGCATTTGTCGATAATGCCAAAAATAGTGTCATATCATAAGCGTTGTCCTTTTCATATTTGGGTGCAACATCATGATGCACATGGAAAAAGTGCAGGGTATGTGTCCCAATGACACAATGCTATTTGTTACTCCCGCCCTTGCCACTCATGTCTCTACTACTTGTTCTCCTTTCCCTTCTTACTTTGCAGTGGTGACCGCCTTTGTCACATAAATAACCAGAAGAGGGAAAAAGAACAAAGCCTCAGGGGGATCTAACTCTGTGGCTGCAAACTCTGCAGTTTAGAAATAGAAGCCAGAAGAGTCAGTTCATAGATGAGAACAGAACAAATCCAGTAGAGCCCTGTAAAATATCAAAAGCAGATTAGGGTAATAGTATAATATAATAATATAATATAGTCATGGTAAATGCTTGGGCATTTCCCCTATGCTGCGTTCATGTGTGTGAGAGGGATGAGAGGGGAGGAAGGAGTAGGGAGGAAGTAGGATGGGTAGAGGAGAAGGGGAGGGGAAGAGAGTAGGAGGGGAGGAGAGAAAGAGGAGGGAAGTAGGGAAGGATTAGAGAGGGTGGACGCAGCCTGGGGGGGAATGGGCAGGCGGTACCAATGGTTAGGAATTTATTTTGTATGAATAAATGGAAAATAAATGTTAAAAAAAAAGCAGATTAGGGTAGAGCTGTATTTGTAACAATGCCCTAACATTTACAGTGTTAAAATAATATTATAAATAATTCATTGTTGACTAATTTATTTACTGGGACCAAATACCGTATATAAAACTGGGTGTTATATCTTCATGAGGGTTTGTGAATAAAGCTATCCCTAGGCTCCATTGCTATGTCCCAAAACTTGGAAGCTTTCAGAAATGTGGGACAACAGAGACCTAAAAGATTAATCTTAAACTTTTATTCAGTTTACGTTCTCATCAATATGAACACAAATTATTTGAAATTGTTTTTTAAAAAATTCTTTTCATATTTTTTGTCTTGTTTACAACAGCTGGGAATATTATGTGAATGATGCTCCACGGATCGTCTTGGACAAGCTGGAGAAGTATGGTTACCGAGTGATCAGCATGACAGGAGTGGGGCAGACACTGGTGTGGTGTCTTCACAAAGAATGAGAGAGACTCCTGCTTTTCTTCCTTCCTAAAATATTGCTGTAAACCACCCAGCATAAGCCTGAGATCGCATTGCTCATCTTCAGGCATTTTGAAGTGAGACTTTATCAAAACCTGGCTTCAAAATCATAAGCACCACTACATTATTCTAAGAAGCATCATTTTAAGAAGCTTCACAGCTTTGGGGCTGGAATTTCCTAAAGAGACGAATCCTTATTAAGTATTATTTCAGGTGCCAATCTGAAACTGGCAGTATTAACTGTTATCGCCACTTTATTGAACAATGACAACTTGGCATTAAATCCACTATATTAGTAACAGTCTCAGGTTAGATTCGGTGTGACATAGCAAAGATATATGATCATGCAGAAAATGTCTGTTAATATTGATAGGGATACTGTTACCATACAAATTTACCTCTATAAATTACATAATGTACTTAAAGTATACTACAGTGTCCCCATTCAAGAGTGTGACTAGAATCTTGAGATTGTGATATGTGGCTTTTCTATTATCTCTACATGGTATACCTTGAAATAGTACAGAAAAGATTCTTTAAATAATTCCATATAGTTTTTAATTGTACCAACTTGCCTTTTCATTGTTGAGATTATTTACACTATGTCTGCTGAAAATCATTCCTAAGTAGTTGATAAAATAATAATAAAAAATAGTAAAATCAACTAATATTGTATCTCAAACTGTTTGTTACCTGGCAGTTTTAAAACGCTGCCAAAGCCTGTAATATACCAATTGACAATCTTCAGCAAAAGTCTGAAATAATGAGTATCCCATTCTCCCTTATTCAAAGAGCAACGTTAGTTTCACATTGTTCTATTGCTGAACTGGAATTGCCAAATAATTAACCCTCTTTGTGACTGAATTTATTTTAGTTTAGATTGCACTGTCAATAACGATGGGTGGTTCAATTTCCTTGTGATGTAGGTGACCATGAATGACCACCGGTAATATTTAGAGTCCTAGATAAGAATTGAGAAAATGGGCAAGATCACAATTTAGTTATGAAATTGAGCTGGTAACCAGCTTTCAACCAAACAAATCTCACAGATTTATTACAAAGATAAAAAATAAGGTAACAATAGAATGCTTTTAAACAAAAGATTTTGTTACATCTAAGAAATATGTTGATTTATAAAGAACGTTAGAGAGAAAAGCACGATGAACCTTTAAAGTCAGACTTGCCATGACTTGTGATGAGCAGAAAACATTTTCTATCATAGAAAATGTGCTGTAGAACTCATATTGGTTCAATGAGTAGGGAAACATGGTGATCAAGAAGGAAGGATATGGTTTTCCAAAAGGCAGATTTGCTACTGCTGTATAAATTCCAGATGTCAGAGTAATTTAAGCCATACAACGAAATACTTGAAATAGATTTTCACTTTATATATCTCCTTAATTTTGGTGATCAGTTATTCTTCCAAGAAATCTACAGTAGTTTTGACGTTTTTCCTTCAATAGTTTTTAATGATTTAAGAATTATAAGTAAAAATGCATGGTAATGCCATTTCCCCTTCTACTATGTATAAGACTCTTCTTCATCTTCCTGTTTCATCTTTTCAATTAGCTTCTGCCTCTCAGAAGCTTGCCGCATGCGCATCATCACAAGACTTTCATAATCCCTCTCGGAAACTACTGAATCCTGTGGAAAGAAGTGACTGCAGTTAGTTTCAGAAGCTCCATTAGGTCTTTCATGCATAATTATTTTATTCTGGATCTGGAAAGCATCACCACTCCAATACAAGAGTACCTTTCAAATGTCTATAGAAATACAGATTCTACATTTAGCGCAGCTATATTACTACTAATTACTGCATATTGGCAATCTATTTGGCTCTCGGCAAGAAATATTCTTGGCATTTTCAGCTGATCTTAGATTTTATAGATATTAAAATTACTCTTTACAAACAAAACAAACTTCACACAGTACATAGCATTATTCATCTGGCTGGAAAGTGCTAAAAGGAAAAAAAGTGTTTTATGTTTTACATCCCAATATGCTTAACAGTCATACAAATTATTCAAAATTAAGTAGTTTTAAGATCCCACATATTAAAACGGAGTTTAGAACAAATTATTCTAGATTATGTTCTAAAGGTTCTATTCCTAAGGTGTATTTCTTTTTGAGAAAAGCTTACAGCTGGTCCAAAGAAAAATGGTTTGTTACAGCATTGCCATATTTCTTGAACATACAGTAGTCCTTGATCTACAACATTTCTTCAACAACCATTTGAAATTAAGCATTGAACAAATGGGGGCTATAATCAGTCCTGGGAGCTTGGCAACCAGTTCACATTTAGGACTGCTTGCCAAGCATCAACTGATTACCATTTGCAACCTTCCTTGCCAGCTTCCCAAGAAAGAGCCTCCTGACCTGTGCTGCTCTTCTCACACACACCATCCCTGGTCCTCCCTCACCTACACAGCACCTCTTGCATCCTCCCTGATCCATGTGTTGCTTCTCACCCTGACTCGTGTATCCTCCCATGCATGTTACCCACTTTCCCTGACCAGCGCCTCTTGCACATCCCCTTGCTCTCTCCCCCACCCAGCAACAAACCACTTACTGATTTGGAACTTGCAGAGTCCCCCACTAATTTTGATTGTGGGAAGGTGGCAAGAAGTTGCCTTGCCTAAACTGTGAGATTCATTTAAAATCAGCAACCAAGATTGCAGGGATTGCTGTCACTAAGCAATGCAGTCGCATTTTACGACTGCAATGCTTGGCAATGACAATTCCAGTCTCAATTGCCGTCATAAGTCAAGACCAACCCATATGTATGTCTCCAAGCCTGAAACGTTTTTGGAGGATTTCTGAGAGAGCTGTAGAAAAGAAACACCCAGCTGAGAGGCCAATACAATGTGAAACTATAGTCTAAAAATAGTGCTTCTCAACTTTTGTGGTTTTTAAGGTGTGTGAACTTCAACTCCCATAATTCAACTTCCAGAGCTAATGTCCACAAATCTTAATATTGCTAAAATTGAGAAAGACAAATTACCCATAGAAACCTTGGCACATCTGAAAATGGTGGGATGGGAGAGCCAAGGCTGTATGCTGTTTCCTTTCAGAGATGATTTTGGAGACACCCTGTAGTTATAGAGCCAGTTTGGTCTAGTGGTTAAGGCACCAGGCTAGTCACCAGAGGACCGCGAGTTCTAATCCTGCCTTAGGCATAAAACCTGGCTGGATGGGTTCTCTCTCTCTCTCTCTCTCTCTCTCTCTCTCTCTCTCACACACACACACACACACACACACTCTCTCTCTCTCACACACACACCTCACAGGGTTGAAAAAAAATAGGAGTAGGTAAATGTATTATGTATGCCATCCTAAATTATTTATAAAAATAATAATAGTGGATGTAAATAATAAAATAAATACAAGGGGATGAAATCTGTTTCTTGGCAAACCTATACCAATGCATTTCACTCACAAAATTAGGGTACCAGGCACAACCTTGTTGAGCAAAAATTGGTTTACCTTTGGACTGGGTCTGGGGTGGGGTACAAACAAAGTGCCATGAAACAAATGGAAAGGCTGAAAGAAGGAAACAAAACGGCAAGAGGAGTCTAACGTGGTTATCCAAACCAATTTGCTATAAAGTTCATACATGTATGTAAAATGTTATGAGACTATATACTGGTTTTGCTTTAACCCTGCTAGCATTTTAGAAATTTCATGCTGGCATAAACATCTTACATTTAGGTTAGTTTTCTTCTGTGATGGCACACTTTAGCAAACGATATGAGATTGACACATTAAATCATGTATTTTTAGGATTAAGGCAGGAAACCTAACATAACAGATATTAATAATGATTTAAATGATACTTTGCAAGCAGTGATTTTTCTCAATATTAAGCGCTATGCAAAATGCAGCAGTAAATTGCTATCACATATTGTCCAGAGGCATTTACCTGACCTTCCTTGCAGACAAAAGCTGACCTAAATCTTTAAAGATAGGTGTTCTCATCATCTATATATGCTACATCAGCGAAAGTATACTTATATAGTGTTGTAAGTAGTTTTGTTAATTATCTGGCCAATCAGATTAGTTCAAAAGCTCTATACAGAGAATTCCAAATTTACTCACGTAGCCTTGTAAGAAAGTATTGCTATAGAAATTATAAAGTGAAGAAGTCTGAGTAGACTTATAGGCTCAATAAGGGAATTGGTTTCAGAATGTTGATTTTAATGTTTCATTGAATATTAAGTATGATTTACGAAATCTTAATGCAGGAACATTATTTCTAAGACTGATAGATATTGGTACAATTTATCATCATTTTCTTGCTATCTAAAGAAGCAGCTAATTCGTATATATAGTATAAATAACATTCATATAAAGGAGTTCTCTTTATATGAATATTTACAGTAGCCATTTTACCTATAGTAAATGAAAGCGATCTGATGTTCATTTATTAAATTTAATGTATTGAATCTTTTGCTCGTACAGCTATTAAGAAACTGCATTAGTACTTCCTATTATACTGCAGTAACATGAACTTTCTCCTGGTTCTAAGGAAATTAGACCTTTATAGACAACACTACACTGCAGACACTCCTGATTTTACCTAGACTGTAACACAGCAAGTTTCACAGATAAGCAGGAACTAAAACAGACTTCAGGGTATCTCTACCCAAATATCCACTACTATATCATACTGACTCACATTAGGATGTCTGGAAAAATACTTCTTTGCATAAGTTAATGAAGGCAAGAGTGACTACAGGAATAGAAGAATAAATTAGAATTTATCTTGTTGATAGACTAACAATGTTGTTTCAAGTCTTATTTTAATTTGATGCTGACAATAAAAGAAGGGTGAAAGAATAACTTTTAGGAAAATAAACTAATATAAGTTCCTTACAAAAAGGGTAATATTAAAAACAGCCGTGTGACCAGAGTAAAGAAAATACTTGGAGGAACAGCTGAAAAATTGTTATAGAATCTACAAAAATGTCACTTTTTAATACCACAAAGATAAGACCCAAGTTCGATGGAGAAGCAAAAGCATTAGACAAAAACACGGGCAAAGGCGATTTAAAATATCTCAGGCCATCAATTTTTTTTCTAACCATTTGCCATGTTATTTGATGTAAGTCACCAGAACTGGAATTCTGTGTTTTATTGCACCATCCTCATTTCAATATTTGACACTATATGTGGAATTACATAAATCTCTTGGAGCTTGGCCAACAGAACTAAATTTGCTAGGTGCTCTTTTATTTCCTTATTTGTACCTTCTTCCAGTAACTCCTGAAGAATAAAGATCTGTGGTTCCAAGCTTCCACAGAAGCTCTAGTTTCTCTTGAGGTAAAGTAACGTAGGCTAATGCTTCAGACTCATACACACCTATTTCCTGCAACCCAGGCAATTAGGTAATAGCATAAATCCCAGTTTCTAATGTAACTGAGTCAGCAAGGGCTTGGCGTAGAACACACACAAAGGAATTACCACCCACAGAACAGATGAGTGGCTGAGCCAGAAGTGAAAAGTAGGTGCTAAAGGAAAGGTGCTCGAAACAAAGAAATCTGAAAATATGCTATGATCTTTTAACGACTGCCAAGGAATGAAACCACAATGTGCACTGAACTGGATGGGCTTCCCTCTGTGTTCCCCACTTGGCTGTTTCTCTATTGGTCCATCTCACTGTAAGTATTAATTCTAAATTTTACTTTGTTTAAAGCTCGAAGCCATAATTACTTAATTTATAAATCCTTCCGGTATTTTTGCTAATAGATGCCTTTCTCTCAGTGGCCCATAGTGAACTTTTCACAGTAGGAAACTGAATACTTTTCATTATTGTGACGGTTCACTGGGATTCAGGTGTAGCATTCTAACAATACTTATATCTTCACTCAACTTCGATTTATCAGCACATTTTGGAAGCCAAGATACAGAACACCTTCCCATAGTTAAAATGAGCTAATGTAGGGATGGCAGGCCACAAATAAGAAACAATGGAAATTTCCATATCTTCTTTCACTGTCTAGCCTCTACATACAATGGGCATCAGCTTGTCAGTGTGAATGAAGTGGTACATCACAGACTGACAAGTAGAAAATAGGAAAGACAACTTATTGATATGTTGATCAAATGGAGCAAGCCCAGGTTAGGTATTAGTTCTTGATCCAAAGAGGAAACATGAATAAAAGGCCCGATGAGCAGAACAAGTAAAGCTATTGCAAGTTTATGGAGCAACAAAAGGGGAAATTAGAACTGAATTGAGTGTGAGGAAGTCAAGAGAGAGGCAGACATTTACTAAAAGAGACTGTGGAAACTGGAATAATAGAGGAGGCTTGGATATAGAATAGGGGAGATATAATCTAATGAAACAGAAAGATGATGCAAACTAATGCCAAAGAATCTATATCAATAGTATATGCTGGGGAATAAGCTCACTCCCAAAGAATGCCATACTTTGAACCACTGCAGGTAGAATTTAAACCTATGATGTTTATCTAAAGTTCATAAGGGCTGGACTAACTATAAATATCTAGCTAGAGGGCAGCAGCTACTCAATTAAGCAGGGTTGAACCTAGCTAATATTAGATGAGAGACCATCAGGTTGAGCAGGAAAGTAGGGAAATATCCCAGAAGAAATTAATAGCATATCATTTTTGTATTGTTGCTAGGAAAACTACGTAGAAATATCCAAGAAATCACAAGGAATCAAGTTTGACTTAGAGGCGCGGTGGCTCAATGCCTTAATGATGCTGGAGATGGTCTCTGTTCCAGGGGTTCAAGTCGTAGCACTGCATTATGGGGTGAGCTCCTGTCACTTGCTTCAGCTTCTGCCCACCTAGCAGTTTGAAAGCATGTTCTATGGAAGTAGATAAATAGGTACTACTTCAGTGGGGAGACCAGAAGGTGTTTCATGCAGGCCATCAGATTCCTGCAGGCTTTGAACCTTCTTCGTTGCAATGCCCATTTGTGAGGTAGCTTTGGTGGAGGGAAGAGTGCCCTGGATGACCCTGCAGGAGCCATTTGACTTTCTGGTATGAAGCCAGCTTACCCTCCTGTGGCACATCTTGGGAAGCGTGTGAGCGTGTACCACAACAGAGTTAGTAAACTGGCAGTCAATCTACTACTCTGCATTAGCATTGTAGTCTCCTGGCTAATGTAACAATGCCATACAATCATCATCATCATCATCATCTTGAAAGCTCCTCTATTGCAGGGCTTTTCAACCTTTTCACCCATTGTAACCACTTTTAGGGTATGGCAATATCCGAGTGCCACCAGTCGCCTAGCAAGGTGTCAAAAACTTGATGACCCCCCAAAAAAGGGAAAAAAGTGATGAAGTACAGGTAGTCCTCGACTTACAGTACTTCACTTAGTGACTGTTCGAAGTTACAATGCCACTGAAAAAGTGCCCCCCAAGCCACAGCCGAGCAAGACACCTGCCCACCCGATGGCGCTCTTCCTCCTGTCCGAGGTTTTCATTGTTGTGAGCATTTTTGTTGAAGATTGACAGCAGGGGTGGGGGGGGGTGTTTGGTTTTTATTCCCCCTGTCTGCTGGGTGGTTGCAGCAGGTTTTAGTCACTTCACATGATCCTGGGACACTGTGACCGTCATAAATATGAATCAGCTGCCAAGCATCTGAATGTAAATCATAAGATCCTGGAGAGGCTGCAACATTCCAGCTGATCGGCGCTTCTTCTGGGCTCAGCAGAAGCACCAGGATCAGCGCTGAGCTCCAGTTGGAGCCTGGCGCTAATCCTGGCGCTTCCACTGAGCCGTGACAGTCCCGAAGAAGCGCTGATCCTGGCGCTTCCATTGAGCCCTACAGCCCTGCAGCTCCATCCGTCTCTCGCTCAGGCTTGTGTGGTGCTGCCACCGGTTCAGCTCATTCCCCTCCCCCTCTACCACTTTTCTAGGATGGTCACGTACCACCTGCCAGGTGCCAATGTACCACAGGTGCTACCCGTACCACTGATTGAAAAGCCCTATTGTACTTCTGTGAATTTGGACTTTGAATAAGTATGAAAGTACTTATAAGTATTTTTTCAGGAGTATGAAAAAATAAAAGAATCTGGAATTTATTAACTGTAAATACCTTGTAGGTCTTGTACTGTCCTTAGATATAAATGCATACCAAATTAAAGTACTAATAATAAAATGTTTAATTCTGAGATAAATTTCTATCTAAGATGCAGAGTATTTTCTTACATTTGGGCTTTGGTATCAGAAACCACACATATTCAGTATTCTTCTCAAAATCCTAGCTACCTGGAGGGTTGCTGAACTCTAGCAATGAGAATTATTGTGAAAATTACTTTTGGGGCACTCCTTATGCATTCTTTTCTTTAAAATGCAAGTAAGTCCTAACTTTGAATACACAAACCTGCTTGTTAATGTCTCTTTTCTTCTTCTAGCAAACAAGAAAGAAGTTCACTGACTCCAGGAGCAACCGTTTACCTAAAGACTATTGATTAATTAGCAAACATCACTTTACTGTTGTCTCAACATGGACACATGGCGGAGAGGATCTATTAGGTCTTCAGGTTTCTTCAAGCGGCTCTCATTCAGGAGGAACAAGAAATTGGGCAACCAGGCTATTATCTTGAACCAGAAGAGTCAAACATTAGACTCCAATGAACAGTGTGACAAAAAGAGGTTCCTAAGAAATTTCAAAGAAAAGCCAGACTATTTTTCGTGTCAAAGCGAACAAAATCTTACCACTAAAACACAGCCACCTCCCAAACCACCTCGCTTATATTTGGACACTGCCAGCTGCCCCAATATAATAGACCACAGAGCATCTTCCTCTACAGATATCTCCTTTTTAAGCACTTCCTGCCATTTTCATAAGGCTACTCAAACACAGCCTGATCTATTTTACAGAGCCCAAACCATGAACTCTGAAACTCTCTCCAGGAACCGTAAACCTCCTTTTGATCCTTCAGACCCTTTCTCTTCCTTCACACTAGATTTGGGGCCCTCACTCCTGGACGATGTTTTACAAACACTCAGAAAACAGAATTTACTATTAAATTAGCTGGAATTCTCACCAAAACCAAGGAATTAATCATACTGACTCTTCTGATTCACGGATCTTTGGTTCTTTTTAAAATAAATTTGTTCCCATAAGAAGGTTATGCCATCTCTTAGGGGACGCTATTAAGTAACTTATGTTTTCTATCTCACTGATAAGCAGGCAATATACTTGCTATACGTAATCAATCAGAAATTCTATGTGTATGTGCAAGAGGAAGATGGTTTTGGCAGGAAGCGCTGTATCATATGGAATGTATGGATATGGTTGGATAAAATAATCTTAAATATCTTGGAGCCCAACTTTTATACATAAAGCTTTCATAGGATACAGAGGGCAAAGGTCCTCATCTACCAATAGTGAAATGGGAACTCTGAATATGAAGTTTATCTTCCTTTGTGCCAGTACAGACTTTTTCTAATTTCTTCCTTCAACTTGAGGGAATTAATAACTTCATTTACGTCATACTATGAATGTAAAATGTGAATGTATATGCTACTCTTTATTAAACCAATTTGTTTTATTTACTTTGCACATTCTTTAATTTCCAGTGACAAGTATTCATCTTCTAACAGATAAATGGGGAAAGCCTTAGTATTACCCTTACAGTCTGACATCTTCAAAAGTATTGGGGTGCAGCTTTTACTAAGTTCCACCCAATTTGATCAGTGCTGTGATGAAACACATTTGAAAAATGTTAAATTTGGGGGGGGGGAGAGTCTATCCTATTATATCATGTACTGTATCTACTACCAGCAAACACTTGCAGACATCATTGTGGTTTATAGTAACATCAATTAAAGAAGCAAAAACCTGGCATGAGGAAACCGTAGTTTCAGAAGAGAGCAGCAAGAGATTTGATCCAAACTGGACCAGAGTCCCACAGCAGTTTTTTTGCCAGATTAAAGCAGCTGTATTAGGCAGCTGCAAACATGACTAACGCTATTAATTTTCTACTGAATTCTGAACTCCACCTATTGCTGCATACTTAAGGTTATGACTGCACCATCAAAGATAAAGCTGAATTGTGACAGGAATTCTTAATATACGAAGGGCAATTTTCATTGTTGTTTCAGCTTCAGGCTGATATGAGTAAGTCAGTGTCAAAAATGAGCTCCTGTTTACTTCCTCAGGCTGAGAACAAATATAACCAGACTTTGTAATTTTCTCATTCTTCTATAACACACACACTCACAGATCAGTAGCATTGTATACTTCAAGAGGATTGCCAACAAACAGGTTCAAACAACAAGATGTTTCCAACTAGATGCATGAGAATAACAACATTTATACAATATAAGCCTACAATTGCCAGCAAATGGATAGATCAACCCCATGGGTGACAACAAGAAGGGAGGTACATGGGAGAGATTTGTAGTGAAACTACCTCACAAAATCTAGAACAGGAAGTTGTGGGAAGGTACTTTCCCACTGGTTTTTTTGGACAGTGTAATTGTAAAACTTTTTCCTCCCACTAAAATCAATGAGATGGAAAGAACTGCTTCATTTCCAATTCCAATGTAACTTGCAAGCCCAGAAGAGGAATGACAGGATTTGGGGGCAGGTATAATTTTTAGCTACTGATCTCTTTAACATATTGCATGGCATGAGTCATCACAATAAATCCATAGGGGATGTTCACCTATTCCACAAATATAAACGTGACTAAATGCTGTTTATTACAAAACAAATCGATGACATCTGTTGCTCTCTCTTTTTATTTCAGTTTTTATTCTTTATTGCCATAATATACTTAACCAACTGAAGGAAAAACTACCACAATATACAAAGCAGTGTAAATATGAAAAGCAAAACATAACAAGAAACAAAACAACACAAAAGGAAAAAATATATGTATTTACTGCATATATTATGGGATCCTTCAGATATTCATTCATGGTAGACAGCTGTCACTAAAGGATGCGATTACATGACATTATGTTTTAAAAAACATCACTTAGTGACAGAAATTCATGTCCCAATTACTGTTATTGACAGAGGACTACCTTTATAAAAGCAACTCAAAATTTAATCACAAGAAACAATATTGACTGGTCTTTCCACATTACACTTATTGATAAGCCACATTGATGGCAAGAGCAATATATTCAATTTGGAATTCAAACACCCAAGTAGCCTTATTTTTTTCAGTACAGGTTCATTCCATGCTCAATAAAGCTAATGTTCTTCATAAATAAATTCCAGGATTTCAGTACAACATATTAACATATTTAACATTTAATATATTTAACCAAGTGTGGTTAGACACACAAGGAATTTGTCTCCAGTACACTGGGTTTTTCTGTACCGAAGACAATTTCCCTGTGTGTCTAACCACACTTAGCCAAATAAATAAAGTATAAGTATAATGCTTATTTCTCTACCCAACATCAAAATACCAACAGTGTGAGAATTAAAGAAAATGGGACAATCACAGAAGAGGTCCAAATAATATATATAAATATCTCTAGAATACATTGTATTTTTCGGCTTAATGAAATAAATTCAAATCTTTTTTTACATATCAATTGAGGAGAAAAACAAATATGATCAATTATTTCCATTTAAGAATGGAAATGCCTTAAGGAAGGAAGGAAGGGACAAGGGGAGAGAGAGAGGGAAGGAGGAACAGACTAAGAGGGAGGGGAAGAAAAGGAAGGAAAGAAGGAAGGGACAAGGGGAGAGAGGGAGGGAAGGAGGAAGAGACTAAGAAGGAGGTGAAGGAAAGGAAGGAAGGAAAGAAGGGACAATGGGAGAGAGGGAGGGAAGGAGGAAGAGACTAAGCAGGAGAAGAGACTAAGGGAGAGGAAGGAAAGGAAGGAAGGAAAGAAGGAAGGGACAATGGGAGAGAGGGAGGGAAGGAGGAAGAGACTAAGCAGGAGGTGAAGGAAAGGAAGGAAGGAAGGAAGGAAGGAAGGAAGGAAGGAAGGGAGGGAGGAAGGAAGGAAGGAAGGAAGGAAGGAAGGAAGGAAGGAAGGAAGGAAGGAAGGAAGGGACAATGGGAGAGAGGGAGGGAAGGAGGAAGAGACTAAGGGAGGTGAAGGAAAGGAAGAAAAGAAGGAAGGAAGGGACAAGGGAGGGAAGGAAGGCAGGTACCCACCTCAATCCCATCCCAGAGACCCACAGATCCCCCCCCCAGGCACTCTGCAACCTGAGTGATCAGCTGGCCATGCCCCCTGGCCATTGATCAAGTGATCCTGGGACACTGTGAATGTCATAAGTATGAATCAGTTGTCAAGCATCTGAATGTAAATCACATGACCCTGGGGGTGCTGCAACAATCATAAGTGTGAAAAATGATCATTAATTCGCTTTTCCAGTGCTGTTGTAACTTTTAACAGTCACTAAGCGAATTGTTGTAAGTTGAGGACTACCTATACTTTCCCATTTTTTCCTTTTTTTTTTTTTTGGTCAAGTTTTTGATACTGTGGGGTCACCACAACATGAGGGACTGTATTAAAGGGTCGCGGCATTAGGAAGGTTGAGAACCACTGGTCTAAATAATACTCTTCAATTGTCTGGGAAAAATAAACAATAGGTATAGAATCTTCCAAGACATTTTTCAGTTAATCTAATATAGTCGTTAACTTATTACCACAATTGAGCCCAAAATTTTTCTTGCTAAGCAAGGCAGTTATTAAGCGGGGTTTGCCCCATTTTACGACCTTTTTTGCCACAATTGTTAAGTGAGTCACTGCAGCTGTTAAGCAGATCACATGGTTATTAAGCAAATCTGGCTTCTCCCATTGATTTTGCTTGTCGGAATTGATTGGGAATGTTACAAATGGGATCACATAACTCCGGAACAGTGTAACTCATAAATACATGCCAGCTACCAAGTGCCCAAATTTTGATCACATGACCATGGGGAATCCTGCAATATTCGTAAGTGTGAAAACTGGTCATAAGTCTCCGTTTTCAGTGCCACTGTAACTTTGGTCACTAAATGACAGGTCGTAAGTTGAGGACTGCCTATAATTTAGGGATTTCAGAAACTGCTAGTATATATAGTCCATACTATCTGATTAAAGGATGTTTTAATTGAATGCAGGGTCATTCTGCAGTTTTAAGTGACCCATGTTCTTCTCCCAAACTAACTCAGCACTGAACAGATGCTTATCTCTTCCATTATTCTCAACTGGTTCAGGTGCAAGATTCAGGATAAAATACTGTTCTTTTATCCTCTTTGAATCTAAAAATATACTGATATAAAATACACTTATTTCCTATATTTTAGCAGGAAATCGACTGATATTTGAACACTAAGTACATGACCTGATTTAAATTGCAATATATTGCATTAAATTGCTGCTGTGTTGTCAAAAACATAACTTAGCAATGTGGATCACCTAATAATATTGGAGCAGAATAGCCCAACCTCCGCAATCTAATAAAGACTTTATTTATTTAGCACAACTACCTCACCACAATAAGCTATGTACTGAATCTTCTAGTTCTTTTTTAACCCTTTAGCAAAGACATGTTCAAATGGCCTCTTGCATTGTTAATAAAAAGAAGGGGGAAAAAACCTAAGTAATAAACAAAAGATTTCATAAGAAGCAATAGCTAAAGTCTCTCCTGAATCATTGACTCCTGGTGACGCCATGGATACAGTCATGTTTTTTGGCGACATGCAGAAGAGGTCTGTCACCGTGTTCTTCCATAGTGTTTTTTTGAGTTTCTCATTTTAACCTGTAATCCTGAGACTTCTTGGTAAAATCTCATCCAAATCTTAACCAGATTTGATCTGCTTAGCTTTTCTGAGATCAGGCCAATTCAGTTAGATGCTGACACCTTCAATAAGCAATACAGATAGTCCTCGACATACAAGCATTTCTTTAATGGCCACTTGAAGTTACAGTGGCACTGAAAAAAAGTGACTTATGACTCAGTTTTCACACTTGTGTCCACTGCAGCATCCCCGTGGTCACATGATCAAAATTTGGATGCTTGGCAACTGGCATGTACTTATGACGGATTGCAGTGTCGTGGGGTCACGTGATCGCCTTTTGCAATCTTCTGACAGGCAAAGTCAAGGGGGAAGCCAGATTCACTGAACAACCATATTACTAACTTAACAACGGCAGTGCTTCACTTAACAATTATGTAGCAAGAAAGATTGTAAAATGGGACAAAACTCAACAACTACTTTGCTGATCGATGGGAATTTTGGGCTCGATTGTGGTCGTAGGTCGAGGACTTCCTGTGTTCAACACCAGAGTTCTATTACCAAAACATGAGCAAAAACTTTTAATTGTAGTCAATTCATCCTCTTTCACTCTTAGGGACAGGACTTAATACCAATAATATACATCGGGACTGCTTGTGATAGCTCTGCCAATCTTGTGTACGCTTAAAAAAAAACCTGAGCCCCACATTTCCATCCATCAGCAAAGTAGTTGTTGAGTTTTGCCCCATTCACTTGCCACAACTGTTAAGTGAATAACTGCTGTTGTTAAGTTAGTAACAAATGACCCAAACAACCTGGGGGTTCTGCTGGATTCTACCCTGTTGAGTATTGCTGACCA